ACAACTACTATGGCAGACGATTTTGGACTAGGTGCGTTCTACATAGTCTCCCAGAAATCAAGACCAAGTTTCGACAACGAGGTTATTTTACATTGTTTTCGCAAATTGGTCGTATTGTCAGGGCGACCTGAAGAAGCGCACCTTCTCTGGAGTTCGTAGTAAGCATAATAATATTCAGAGTCAGACTGTGAATTTGATAAATTCCCAGACATTTGACTAGCATTGTGGACAGCATCGTCAATGTGCCTTGTTATTCTTAATCCCACACTAAAACGCTTCATAAAGACATGAGAAGTCGATCCTTTGACCAATTGTCTGCTAAAGAATTGTGGCATCTCTCCTTCTTTTCTGGTGTATTCACCTATGATATATCCTCGTAACACCCCCTCACTATCACAATTTTTAAGTTGTTTATTTAAATCTAGTTGAAGTGTACCCTTTTGGGCAGATTTATTGAGACGTATTCATCCTCATCCCTCCTATTCTTCATGATCTTAGTAGCTCGGTGACAACTCAGGGAAAATATATCTAAAACAAAATGTATAGTGCTGATTCTTGGAGATGAATCCAAGGTAGCACCCTAGCTTGAACAGATATGGTGTATAACGATGCATTTAGGGTTAAATTAAGTTTTGATTTAATAATTATTGGCCTCCAATTGTATGGTATCTTCATCAGGAAACTAATGCAGCTACCTAAGAAATAGCTTTCAAAATTCTTGGATTTAAGAGCCTGTTATCTTCAGGTATTTTTTGGCACAAAATGGGATGCATATAATCGTGATTTCTGTGAACTATTGCCATTCATCGAAATGAGGATTCACCAGCTTAGCTCTAGTAATTTCATACATCAAAATTACGCTCAACTCGTACAGGCTAAAGCAGGACTAGCAACACATACATTCGCATACAAACGTACATACACACATACATACATATTAAATATGTATATATGTGAAAAATGCGAATCCTTTTGTATCCTTAAATAAAATAGACATGTAATTGAGTCTCATATAAAACTTCTTCTGTTACCAGGGCCGAAATGGTTTCGAGTGAGTTGTGGCCTAATTTTTAGAGACGGTCTCTGGCCAGAGTCCAATCTATTGTCCGTTTGGCAGGCCTTTTGGACTGATAGAGAGGTTGGGGAAGAAAATTAATTTTTCTTGGAGTATCCCGAAGATAATGATCATGATGATGGCAGGGTAGATGTTAAGGCAGTCAATTATAGCAAAGTGTATATTATTGAGGCACAGGCTGAGTAGGGATGGAGTAGGGATAGATGAGCATACTTGGAGAATGGATAGCGATGCCAATAATAATGTGATTCGAATATTGTATAAATGCTGGCAAAAATAGTGAAGGGCAAACCTTACCCTCAATAAAAGTGTCCGAATCATAGCTGGACAAACGATGTGACAATCTAAGAAGAATGCAACTAAACCCGAATTATAACATATCCGCGTCCAAATTAAACTAAGAAATTCTCTCTCTAACTGCACTACATCATTATTCGCGATATTTTTAAGACTTTCTGCTTCTTAGGCGCGTCCTTTGACTTTGCGCCATAAGATACTGTATGGACATATATAGAGGATTGAGCAAAAGTGCTCTACCCAAGGAAAGTTGCCAACATCGACTAAATTTTTTCATCAATGCTTGTTTTCATTTAAATTAAGAAGAGGTGATTTCTACAAAAATGCTGCCATCAGAAAGAGCTGCATTTTCAAATAAAATCATGCGGTTTTGTTAATTTCAATTAAAAAATACAATCTGCCACCTGAAAAGTAGATTCAAAGGAAACATCTATGGGCTGCTAATCACTTGAGTTCCCATTTGAACAAAAAGTGTTTTTTACTCTTATCCAGGAATGCTAAAATCAAACATCGAACTCATATCTCTCCAGAGGAAAGCTGTAGAAGTGACAGCCAACTTTTCATAAGTGGATATATTCTCAGATCATGGTAGTTAGTACCATAGTAATAAGATCAGTCGAATATCATACCAACCAGGAAAACAGTCTTAATTTAAATCAACCGATGGGATAAGGCCTTTTCAAATTAGGCATGACAAAATTAAACTCAAAAATCTTTTGGTTCTATATGCGTGATGAGTTTGTTAAACATACAATGTAAAGTACTTAGATCGTAGATATGAAGACCTGACGACGCCGGCGGAATGGTTGGGAATGTAGTAAGTCAATGGCCCGAAGCTGCAAATCAGGAATACTATGAAAGAGGTATGTAGAAAAACTGGATTTCGAAGAAACAGGACTAAATACGTTTAACAAGGTCTTTCTGACGCTTTAACCAAGTCGCGAAAACAAGCTCGAACCAACACATCAATGTATTTAGTAAATTCAGTCTACGGGGAAAGTCCTTTGAAGAAGGGAATTATTTAGCAAGTTTCAGCTAGCTTTACTCCCTTTTGTTGCAAAAGGTGAAAACTCGATGGCCTATAGACAATAGTTGTGCTTCTTGAAACGTATTCATCAAATCATTTATGGAAACCTTAACATATTTGGCATGATCAAGCAGCTATCATGGGTAGCAAACTGCTTACCTGCGGATTAAATTAACTTTCTGTAATGTAATCATAAACAACACAATAATCCTTGACAGATCAGAGATAGCTTTAGTATGGAGAATCATGTCTGATAGCAAGGGAGGTATAAACCATATTATGATGCTGCAGAAGGCTCTTCTCAGAAAAGCTTTATTTCTGAGGGACATCGGTAAATCAAACTCGCTTTACAAAATAATGACGTTCAGTGGTGTACATATGTCTTAGTAACCGATGCCTCCTCAGTAAAGATAGAAGCAAAATTAGCCTTGACTGAAATTAAAAGTAATACTCGATGTGTAGCTAAATGAAACTAGAACAATCTGGTCTATTCAAGGATGTTCGTGCTACTGGATAGGCATATCCTTGGATCGAATCTCATCCGACCTAGTGAGGATCCAAAAGGCATTCAATTCGTATCAAGAAAGCTGTATATGATTGACATATGATATGCAAGTTAAAGGTATTTAAATTTACATTTTAGGCATAGTGCTTCAGGGTCTTTATTGAAGCTTTTCTTTTTGACCATTTTCCGTTGTATATAACTGATTCTTGCCAGAACAGCATTCAGGTCAGTTTGTCGTAGACAATCCATTTGTCTAGAATATTTTTCAATGAGTAACATATTATTTCGTAACCTATTTCCTTTTGAAATGGTCGCCATTGGCAATAAATATCCTTCGTTTTGATGACGAGATGCCATATAATGGCCCAAGTATAGAAATAATTATTATGTATTCCATTTATAGTTAAATATATATAAGACACATTTTGATTGATACTTGTTTGCTGGATGAGAATAAAGTTTAGTTAATACAAACCTGAGTATAATTTCATGGTTTCACATTTGCTTTTACTGTCTTTATTTATCTGTACACAGAACAACAGATGCAGCTCGACAAAGAAGGGAAACGGAAACATACTCGACCCACATTTTCCGGTCAACAAATCTACCTTCTGGAGAAGACCTTTGAGCAGACTAAATACCTGGCTGGACCTGAGAGGGCTCAATTGGCAGCCATGTTGGGCATGTCCGAGAGTCAAGTCAAGGTAATGTAAGCAGGTTTCTATCCAAAGGACCTATTGGTTCATGACACTCTTATTAATTCTCTGTTTATTCCAAAGTAATCTTAATCTTCTAGGGCAGATAAGGAAGTCGTTTTAAGGATAAGATATTTCACTTTCTCATAGGTCCTTCACTCATCAACTTCACTTCAACTAGGTTCCTCTGACGACAAGACCAAGTTGCGAAAACGAAGTCAACCCACTTCTCTAAGAGGAAAAACTACTGATAACTATAATGATGTATCAAAGGTATAGAGACCAAGACGTTGTGGCCTTTTATCTGGTCGGGGTCTCAGTTCGTTGTATAGTAATTGGTTGACTTTTTTTCGCAACTTGGTCGTATTGACAGGAAGACCTAGATGAACGCACCTTGTCCGGAGTCCATTGTATGCATAATAATTTCCAGAGCCGGACTGTGGATGTGGTACATTCCCAGACGTTGAGCAATCATCGTAGTCGGCATTGTCACTGATCCTTTCCAGCCTTAGCACCACACTACTGCTCGTCAGAGAGATAAGTGAAGTCGATCCTTTGACCAATTGTCTGCTAAACACTTGTGGTATCTCTCCTGTCCTGGGCTATTCACCTATTCTATATCCTCGTATTACCCCTTCACTGACACAATTTCTTAATTGCTTATTTAAATATTGCATGGTGTGCCCTCTTCATACCAACACTGGCTTTCTCACCCACCCCCTACCATTGTGCTGGAATCCTCTTCCCATAGGTCCTATCAGAGTCTCCCCCTTGCCCCGCAGGATCCGTCTTCTATCTCCCTGGTTCAAGTATTCCACTTGATCTCTACCACCCTATCTATTCTACTCGAAGCATTATTTCCCACACTCTGCATCAAGCTTGTGATAGCACATATACTCACGCTTGGCTGAGTAAGCCAACAAAGTCTGGATTCTCAAGCTGGAGGGGAGGTTGACTTGAGGCTTTTGATCCCGAGTAATTCTCAGCGTCAAGTCTTTGCTTCATGGACCACGCCCATGGTCAAACACGTCTACTGTTAACCAACTAGATCTAGACTCATATGAATCTATCGTGCTTCTATCCATAATGCCAAGTCTATGACGTCTCTAGTGTGCCAACCCAGAAATGTTGTGGTTCTACTTGATTTGATTAGGTTCACTGTAGACGTCTCCTATTGGCTTCTGATTGTTCCTTCCTAGTCACCTTGCGATTTCTTTTCATAAAATGATAGATGTTACCTTGATCCAGTCGTCTTCTGTTTGCTGATTTTCTCCGAGTCTGTTTAGGCAATATTCAAAGTTTTCGTTGATCCTGCTTTCTTCGAGTCTCCTGTTAATTAGATTTATTTCGGTCAGCATATCGATGGCCTCTCGGATCTTGAGTCTTCTCTTATTTTCACAATAGGCAGCCGGCCGTTCTGTCGATTTCGTGTCCCGTCCATGCAATGTGTTCCGCTATTTCGGATCTTTCCGTATCCATTTTTTACAGTCTTTGGTGTCCCTTGATTCGTAGGAGGATATTTCTTTCTGCTTCAGGAATATACTTACGTTTACAGCTGATGCATTTCATGCGATAAACTCCTCTCAATCTTCTAGTGTTGTATCGGGAGATTGGTAAAAAGTGTTGTCTTCCCCTTTGTTATCCCCTTGATATCACATTTTCTTAGTGAAGTTAGTATTTTTGGCTCAGTTCACATGAGAGCATATCTAATTTTGGTTGTCCTCCTGATTCCTGATCGGATTTTTATAAAATCCAAGTTGGAATCTGCTCCTTATCACATCTACATTTTCTATAAATTATTTGGAGTACGCGTTACTAAGGCAAATCCGAGTCAGTTTGTCCAAATCCTCTTTCCAGGACTCAGTATCCGTTAGTCTTACGCTTTTCATGATCAAACTCCTCAGTATTCCGATCTTCAGTCTGTAGTAATGGTGAGACTAAAAATTAAAGATTATTCTTGAATATCAATGTTTTCTGAATAATCTCCTCATAAGTGTTTCAGTTGGAGAGCATGTCTTCCATATCCAGGATGGGTAGTGGTTTATCTTCCTCTACATCCATTATGAATTTAATTTTTTCCACAAATTGGTTAAGAAAAGTGAGGAATTCATTTAGATTTTCCTTACCATGTGACCAAAGTGCAAAGTAGTCATCCAAATATCACATAAGCCCTCTTGGTTGCAATGGTGAATTCTCTAATTCCCTTTTTAACTTGTCCATATATGCATTTGCCAAAAGAGGTGGGAGTGGAGATCCTATCGGTAGTCCATATATTTGCACATAGATACTGCCGTTAAATGTAAAATAGGTGGTCCTTACTGTCAGGTTCATCAGTCGTATTAATGACTCCTTCTGTATCTGTTCTTCTAACTCCAATATCTCCAACAGGGCGCTTACCACCTTCTGACCTGAGATGTTTGTGGTCAAATATTGTACGTCAAAACTTACCAACAGTTACTTCCCCACCAGCCCAATATTTTGGATCCGTTTAGAAAATTCATATGAATTCTTCACGATATTCGATAGTCTGTCATTTACTTTCTTGAGCTCAAAGCGAATGAATTTCGCCAGCTTGTTTGTTGCTCCATGCTTGTTGTTGGTTCTTAATCTTGGCGGATTTCCTTCTTTGTGTATATTGGAAAGTCCGTAGGTCGTCGGTGGTCTTGCGTAATTTTTATTAC